CACACACACACACACACACACACACACACACACACACACACACACACTTTAAATGAAATCGGCCTCTGTATCTCTGTCACCTGTCCGTGACCTGCTGACCTCCTTCACTGACCCCTGTCTAATTACAGAGCCGTTGTGTGCATAAGTGTGTATGTGTGGGCATGGTGTCACATTACGTCATGTCTACCAACAACCACATTAATTGTTTCCTTGTAAGGCCTTGTCTGCTGCTGAGTTTGTCCCACAATACTCGGTCTGTGTTGTCATTTTACAATTTAGACTTTACCCCACAATACTGAAGTCGTATCAATGCCATCTTTGTGCACAATCGCATACAAAACCATCAGATGGATTATGATTAACGGAGTCAAGAAATCTTAATCTGTTTTAACAAAGAAGAACAAAAAACAATTAACTATCTACAGGGCTGTATGTGTGCATTGATAGAACATCAACAGGCCTTTGCTTTGCAGATGAATGCCAACATTGATTTCTTTGTGCATTCATGTCTCTAAAACTTGTTGTATAGAGTTGGTCAGGTATGCTAGAAACATTCTATATGGGCAACAGAAAATCAAACCCAAACATGTACAAAATAGCAAGCCAGACCTTAAAAGACACACTCTATGTTTGCAATATTTCAAGCACCTGGACGCTCCGTTTTTATAGCGGTTGACGCCCAAGAAAGGTCCCGAACACAGCAAAACGAAAAGAAAAGAGAAAATACAGCCAGAGGGCAGGGTCATTGTAGCCAAACACTTCCAGTGGTAATAAGTGATGATTGAGAAGGTTTATTTTAGTATGAGTCTATACATTGTTTTTAGGAACATCCTACTCAATGTGCCTTTACCACATTAAGGTAAATGTCTTTTAGTTTTTAATTGTCTCAAGAAAAATCCATTAAATGAATAGCTTTTCATGGTGTCCTCCAAATTGCTCCTGCTCCTATAAATTGTGGGAGATTTCAAACCATTTTTTCTTTAAGAGCAACAGTGTTTGTTTCTTGAATGCACCCACCTTGTTTTTCCCCGTGCTGGTAGGCTTTGCAGTCCTAGGGCTAGCAGGCTTTGTAATCCTGGAGATGGCTGATTTGGGTGTCCCAGGGCCGGCAAGTTTGAGTGTCCCAGGGCTGGAGGGCTTTGCAGTTCCAGGACTTGCTGGGCTGACTGGTGAAGCCGTCTTATCCTCATCTAGCCATCTGATGACAGGCTGGGACAACCGATGGGCCTTGGGATCTACCGATGGGACCTCTAAGTCTACTCCACTCTCCACAACTGCCCTCCGATAGGAAGTACTCCTCAGGCCTCTTTGTAGTGTCCCCGTGCTCTCAGTTTCCCCATCTGTCCCCTCAGCTTGACCCCCTCCTGTAGAAAAGTAGGTTCCTGTTTCTACCATGCTGAGGGCTTTCAACGCTCGCTTGGAATTATCCAACCCCAGCAGCCCTGTTAAACCTTGGCCTTGCGGCTCAGGGGGCGGCACCTTGCTTTGCCGAATATCGGATGCCAAACCCTTGGGAATTAGCTGCTGGGTGCCCATCTTCAGGGCAGCGGGGCTATGGGTGCTGAGGACGATGGAGGGGGAGGGAGAGATAGATGGGGAAAGTGAGGAACAAGCTGAGGTTGAGGAGATGGAAGAAGAGAAAGACGCATGCCTGGTGTTCTGTGAGGAGTCAGGCGACAATGAGGACGTTCTAACGAGCGCTTGTCCTCTGTCCGCTGGCGACGGGGAGCGTGGGGTCGGGGGGTCTGAGGAGGTAAGGGAAGAGAGGGAGGGGATGCTGGACGTGGAGCTGTGGGAGGGGGTAGGGGTACGCCGGGCTGGAGGAGAGGGGCTGGATGCAGACAAAAGGGAGGAGAGTTCTTGGGAGTTGTAGTTGTTGTTGTTGTTGTTAGGAGTGTGTGGAGACAGGACAGGAGAAGAGTTAAGAACAGCTTCAGATGAGGGTGAACTCATCTCAAATGCTTTCTGGTCTTTCCGTGAGCGCAAGCTGAACGGGCTGGACATGCGTTTCTGGGGGTCCTGGAGATGCTTTTCCTGCCATACTGTCACCCTATTGCTGGTTTTCTGCCCGTCTCCATTACACACTCTATTGTCCAGTGAGGCGGATCTGCCATCGTCAGACCTAAATTTTGACAGTGAGAAGAGTCTGTTGGAGAAGTGCCCGATGCTAATGCTTCGGACAACTCTGGATTTCCTGGAGGGTTTGTGCAGAACGTGCTTCAACACCGTAGTTTTCTTGCCCCAACTCGGGGGAGTGACCACCAGCCTTTCAGCAGGTTGGCTCAAGGTGAAGGAACACTTCTTGTCCTCCACAGGGAAGTCCGTCGTCATGACCCCATTTATGTGGTAACTGAGGGGTCGCGGTTTTGGTTTGCTTGAGTCCTGGGGGGGTTTATAATTGTCTGTGCGGCATCTCCACAATGGGGTGATGTTTTTATTGGACAGATCCACATCGTTGCCGATATCCATGGTGCTAGATTGCCTGTGACCTCTTCACTGTCCGTGTCCAAACCAACAGGTCACAGTGCAAACACTGCAGTCCTGTAGAAAACGGATCTCACCCCTAAGAGTAAACAAAAAGAAAAGGAGCCAAGAGCTCAGTGTCCAATTTCACCAAGTTTACTCATTAACAGAGATTCAGTGCCGATACTGGAGGCCAAACTTCAACAGCGCAAAACAGAAGCCAGGCCAGTGAAGACAGCTGGTAATCCTTTTGTATATGTTCACTGTGGTGGAATGGCCTTATTACAAGCACAAAGCAGACAGGATATTGTTTGCTGTGAGCAATCACTGTAATATTCCAAAATGGAAACAACAGTGAGTTTAGAGAGGATTGTTTTTGTGGTTCATCACTTAAACACCAAACACTCGGAACTTGCATTTCTGTTCATGTGTATAAACATCGCTACATAAGCATGCTACCGTTATCTGCACAGCAGAGACAGAGATTTAACTGTAGAATAAACTGCTTTCCCAGTTATCGTTACATTGACTGTCCAAAGTGCTGGGCTCAACCAGTGCTCAACTTACCTCTAATCAGTGGATCTGCTGCAGAATGCGGTCATTGTACCTGCGCTGTCGTAAAACAAACCTCCTCTGGTCGAATAACAACGGTCAGTGGGCTTAATCCAGCATGGTGTCGAGTCCAAGTGAAGTTTGTGAAACCAAAGTCGGAGCCGCCAAGTCACTGGGAAGTATTATGTGGTCGACTGGAAACTCGTGTGCGCGGCGGTGAGCGCGTCTGAAGCGCTGCTCTCTGTGAGTTGCACAGTTTCTATGAGGAGGAGGAGGAAGAAGAAGGAGGGAGGGATGGAGGGGAGCTGAACAGAAGTGGGACAGGAGCAGAACTCCCAAATTCACAGAAACTCACCTCGGGTACTACTTGAAGGCGTGGTTGTAGTTTGTTTAGACGTGACGCCTCCACTTATTTTAATAAAGCTTCACAATGAGATGACATGATTATCTTCTTCTCAAGTTGTTAAATTTATTGTAGTTTAATTAAATTCCCATACCCCCATATCAAACAAAAACGTAAGCGTACAATGTTATACTTTATTTCATTATTTTCCCGTAGCCCCGAGTTAATATTGATAATTTAATATATTTTCTATATTTTTTAACATTCACTTTCATTTATTTACGTTTCATATTTAATTTGTGTGGCATTACTTCTTTATTTAAGCTTGATAATTATCGTGTTAATATGATCATATACCGTCAGATAGCTCCCCCAGGAAGTCTATAGCTACACTGTCCAGGTCATTTTAGAAAAAAATAATGTTAAAACATTTTAACACACCTGCACAGAGGCATTAATATTGGGATAGTAAAGTGACCCGTTGCTGTTGTGCGCCATCGTGTGTTTGGTGGCGTCATTGCAACAGGCCTGCAGTCATAAATAGTGATTTTTAAAAAAATCACATGTATTTGTCGATTTCACAAAAATGTCCCAAAGTAGCCAACTTGTGAGTGCACTGGCATTCAACAAGAGTGAGGGCAGAGGCAGCAAGTTATAGCATTCCCAATATTTGGACACTGATGAAAAACCACCCGACAGCACTTTATTCCCAGAACATTCCAATACAGATTTAGTATTAATAACCCCACCCTGCATGTTAATTTAAGCTCAGAAGTAGATGTTAACTTTTACAATTTTTAAAACTGGTACTTACTGTAAATAATGTATCAGGCTGGCGTATTGTAAGGCTGTGTTGATATGGATGGTGCCCCACCGCGTGGCTCTTGTGCACCAGTATTTCATCTATTTGACCGCTAGGAGGCGCCACTGTCCTGTTTACCACAATAAGGGGTCGAATATCATTCTACAAAGTAGTTTACATGTTTCATTTAAGTGCAAATGATTTATAGATGGTCACAATGTTTGCTCTCTGATTGCATTGCGGTGACAGACCATGACATTTATTCTCAATGTCCATAAACATTTGGGAATCAATAGTGTCATTGTTAGGCAAACGTCAGACAGTGTGTCAAAGAGATAAGATGTGCAAAGGCATGTCAAAGCACAGGATTAGACAACTGTCACCTACATTAGAAGCGTACAGACACAATAACAGAGAGCAAGAAAGAGATCACACACATCTTTACGCAGCCTGTTGTTGCAGTCAGATAACAGCATTTTCTTTTTAATTTTCCAAGATCTGGAGAAGAGGGAAACATTAATTAAGAGTCAAACCCAGGTCAAGAACATACTGTTTAATGTGTATCATCAGTGCTTCATTCTGTTCATAAAAAATAAAACAACGTATAAACATAATTATTACAGCATGACCTTCCTTCTTGATGTTTATCACTTCTGTATGCAACATTGCCAAATTAGTCTCCCATTAATCCACAGCAATATAAATGTCATCACCAGAAACATTACCCTCGCCGGTTTTATCAGGAACAATTAAAATTCTATCTTTCATGATAATTATCGTCATTAATTACCAAAATGTATTTTCATAGCATTCGTCACACAGACCCCGTGCGGTGTGACGGGCCTCATTATGTTCTATAGAGGAAGTGCAGCAGCCTCTCCTGTTGTATTGTTTGAAAGAGCTATATGTTTCCTCATGTTGTTTTGGTTCCTCTACCATCGGACATGACACTCACTCACCGACCTGAAAGCAAGTCCCCTGAGCCAGCGAACATCCGCCCTAATGTAAAGTTCTTGAGTGAGACGGTGAATTTCCACACTGTTCTGACCAGCACTCTTTGTCAGGGGACAAAAATATAAACTTGCTCTTTGTGGTTCAGTGAAGTGGTACAATGGGGGAACAGGGTAGAGAATCTAAGGAACAACCTTTGGTATCTTCTCCAATGGACCATTTAAAGAAGCTACAGAGCAGGCATGCTTAGTACAGACTGAGATTACACCTTCAGCATCTTTATTCTTCCACACATCAAAGACTGATAAGGCGAGAGCCTTTGTCTGTCTGTGTAGGCTTTTGCTTGCCTGAACAAAGTCTGCTTCAAGACGATTCAGAGCAGCAAAGTTAAACTGAATAGAACTACGGAGAAAGTAGTGAAAGGGACAGGACAAGCTGGCAGTGAAAGCAAAAGCAATACGATCAATAGAACAGAAAGGATCCTCAAAAAGCCATTCATGTCATTGGGGAATTCTGATTCTGATTGCTGTGAAAATGAAGTGAAAGACTGTGGAGGAGTTGTTCTTGCATCAACAAGAAATAAAAAAATAACATTTTGATTGGACTGGAAACTGTAAATGTCTTGTTGAATCAGGTAACTAGTGTTGTTTGTGGAGCATGGTGGTGAGACGTATTGGCATCAGGGCTTTAATCGCATCATTTTCATATCATGGATTACATTTTTATTGAAAGCAAACGTTTGTTTCAGGGATGAGCTGCAAGGAAAGCGGAAGTTAAATCTCAGTGATCAGGGCGCATGAACCAGTTTTTCTGGTGGAGTTATGTTTATGAGGAAAAGAGTGAGTAGAAAGAAAACAAATCTACCATTGTGATCCCGCCCACTTTTACTCATATAAAGGCATCGAGTATGTAAGTGGTCTAGTTTATCTTCACATGAGTCATCTCCGCTCTACTCCATGTATGAATCAGCTACTCTTCTGACCCTCTATCAATAGTCCAGCGTTCCCTGCAGGCTTCCTCTCTAAGGCAGCTCTGCTCCAATGATAACACTCACGAAGTTCATTAAGTTCATCCTTCAGAGAATACTGACAAAATATGTGAATTCTTATGTATTGCTTAAATATTTGCACACATTCAAATTGAAAAGGAACAGATTCTGGTCCAGACCTGTTCGAAAGAAAAAAATAGGTAAAAGCAAAAAAAAAATGTGAAAGAAATACTGACGCAAAATGCTTTACAGGTAAAATAGTTTATAGCCTAAATGTAGTGTATACTACAGGAAGTGACACCTTTCCTTTGTATTTAAGCTGCAGGGTTTAACTTAAAGTGTTCTCTGCTTTAGTGTGCAATATGTAAATAGTGTCAGACCCCACTGGAAAGACATCAAGAGTGTTACGTTTTGAAATTGTATTTTAGATACGTGATCTATCGAACCATACTTTAGGTTACTTGTTTTCAAAGAAAATAAACTTGCTTCATGACTTTCCTTGTACTCGGTCCTCTGATTTCGTTTAGATATGTATATGAACTGCTATGTGTGTGTTATGCATTTGTCTCAGCTTTTCACTTGTTTAGTACTGTTTAGGAAGCATTTCACCCAAATTGCAAAAACAAACAAACCAAAACAATATAATCTCTGGTTTTCTGGGAGGTTTTCAAGATAATTGTTTCTAGTATTTCTGTTTCTGCCGCAGTACAAAGAGAATGGATGGAATTACATCCTCGCAGGATTTGAAAAAAAACAATTAAAGGCAAAACCAGAAACACACGAAACACACCGTCAAACGTTCTTAGAGGCCATTTCTTTGGGCAAACAAAATATCCCAGTGAAAATTGTCCACAACAAGGGTCACTGAGCAACAGGGACACTGTCTCTGAAAAGACGGGCTGCTGTTAAAGTTTTAAGTGTCATTTTTTGATGCTGTGAGCACCACAAATGAAATCCCATTCATGGTTCTGGAGGAATAAATCTCAGAGTTGGATGTCTAAAAAACGATCTGCATGGTTAAACATTCTTCAAGATGTATCCCTCCTACAGAATAAATAACAAGGACTACAATCAAACCATTAATGCAAATACACCAGTAAAGCTCTTGCTAGAGGCAGATATGCCAAGATATTGGAAAGATGTTGAAGTCTGAGCTGTGTATATGAACAGCTTGCATGACTGTGGTGTGTGTTTTCCTGCTGGGTGTGCGAAGCAGTGTAGCATATAATTCAGTCACAAACAATGTGAATAGCATCATTGTGTGTCGTCTTGGGAGTCAGGAATGCAGGAGTCAGATGATTCCGTGTCGAGATGACGGTGTGGCACAAAAGAAGAAATCAGTGAAAGTGGAAGCAGGAGAGACAAATAAATAAAAATACAAATAAATGTATTCTAGGAGGAGAAATTCTTTGCTTTATGTCGTTTAATACATTTTCATGTTGCGCCTCGGTTGAGTAGCGCTCCCCCTCACTCTCTCCTCTGTTCAATGTGTGTCACCTGCTGGAGTCGCGGCCAGATATTAACATTAAAGCCATGAAACAGAGGGATAGTGTGAGCACAACATTACTGAGCTTTTCTCGTCTTCTGGCATTTCTTTCTTTTTTTAAAAGCCCTCCACATTGACCTTTTCTTAGAACACCTATATCTTTCTCTCTTTCCTCTCTCCTCTTTTTTCCTCTGACTCACAGCCCGTTGTACTTCTCCTATACTCAGCAGTGTTGTTTGCTCGCTGTCCTTGCCTCCCCTCACCCTTCACTGCCACCCACACGTCTCCTCATCCATCCTCTCCGAGAACAATGCAGAGGAGAGCAAATGGCTGTAATTACCGCAGCTAAGTAACAAGGGCTCAGAAAAAAAGGGAGTAACAAACAAGAGAAGAAGGAGAAGAAGCATGTCTAATACATGTACGGATCACATTATGAATGCATAAGCCATATGTTACCAAACTAGGACAGCAGCTCGTTATTGTATGCTAGTTCACCTCAGTGTCCAGTGATAACAGCTCTGTGCCCGTTCATGCATATGCCCACCCACAGTGTATAGGATTACTGCAGTGGGCCCGTCTATGTACACAAGTGCATAAGGAACCAACACAGGGGGGCATCTGCCACACATACACGTATTTGAACCCAGGCTAATCGCCATGGTTACGGGCCTATCGGCTCGTGCCGATTGGCCGGCGTTATTGCGACGACCCGAGATTGACTCCCCCCT